ATCTTTCTGGCTTATTGTGGGTGTTTAATAATGGAGAGAGCTTACAGGTTCCTAAAAAGAGGTGAAAAATCTCCAGGAATTTAAGAATTTCTGAGTATCTCTCTTTGATTCCTTGTTTCTTTCTTCTAGTCCAGAAAATTATAAGCTATGAGCCACTGGGAAGTAGGCAGGTAAATGTTAGACTCCAGCCAGAACCTTCAAAGATTATGATGTTCTTCTCCCTGCTACCAGGACATAGTATATTTAAATGTTTATAGTTCGAGTAATAAATCTATAGGTAGACTGTGAGTTTCTTGGCCTAATCATCCTTGCAATTCCCAAGGGTCTCTAAGAGTTCCAGCCTTTTAGAAAAATATTTTCCTTTAATGTCCAAATAAAATAACCAAAGCTGTGGCCAGTGTAATTTCGGGGATTTCATTACCCTCTCCAGCATTTTGAAGATGCCTGGTCGAGTGTTTGCCTCCTCTGCTGGCTTCTTATCATCTCTCACCCTAAACTTTGAATCTCAAACCAATTCTTGGTCATCCTTGGTTTATTACCGCCAGTCCCGCCAATTATAGCTCTCTTTAAATCGTGTTTTCCAGAACATGGCAGAGTTCCCTCTTCCTTTGCTATTTCTTCATAGAGAATTTATGACCAACCCACTCTCTCTTTGTAGCAAAAGCCTAATGTATTTCTTCTTTTACCTGATTCCTCAAGGGCCCCCAAAACTCCTGTCTTTGGAGCCCAGACAGAACACTTATTTTTTTCTGATCATTTTAGTTCCCTTTGTTTTGGTATCCTTTCCTGTCTAAACTTTCGATGTATTTCCCTAAACAGACAAGTTTTCCCTTTTTGCCTCTTCTCTTGCTTCCAGATTGTAGAAAGGACTAAAGTAAGATTTAAACAAGCAGATTTTTAAAACCTCTCTATTGTATTTGTATTCTAAAAGTGTAGATGTGATATCACACACCAAAGATGGGCATGTAATGTCCTTGGTATGTGTTGACGCTCAATTAATTTTGTAACAGCAATGATATCTAATTCTTCCTTGAAGTAGTAATTAATCTAATGAATAGTTTATGTGTTGTTTTACTTTTTCATCTTGTGATTCTTATGAAGACTTCATAAATTCTTTCTTGAACCCCAAGTCTCACTCTAAGCAAAACAAACTGTAAAGTTCACTTTGTGAATACTCTCGTTAGCAAGCAAAGTAAGTTCACACTCCAGCTGGCTACTTAGTAACGCAAATAGTCACTTAACCATGAGTCTCAATTTCCTCTTTCATAAAATGAGGAAGTTTGCCTCGTTTAACTATAGTTTCCCTTCAGTTTTAGAATATCATGTATGCCTCTAAAAGATAATGGGGGAGGAGTTGTGTAGTTGGACCCAAGAAGTAAAGAAGGCCAGATAATTTTATTTATAGCTATTTATGCAATTAATACTAACAAGCAGCTATTTGTCTTTTAGCGATCCAGTGATCTCAACTCTCCAGTTCAAGAAATACGTATCAACCTTGGTTTAACCGCTAACAGAACCTCACATTTACCCTTTCCCTGAAATGAGTCTATTAATATTCACCCCATCTCATCTGATAAACAAAATGTTTCTACTAAAATGAAGTAACAGGGATAATACAGTTCAAGTTTTGGAACTGAAAAAAAATATCTCTTTTCTCCTTAATTTTAATTCTTCTGTTATTGTTTCAAAACCACCTAAGTACATCTAAAGAATTAGTAAATAGAGGAGCAGTTGTATGGAAAAGTAGAGGGGAAAAAAAGCTGGATTACTATCTGAAGCTAATAGATTTTAGCTTGCTTCAAAATGTTAAAAGAAGTAAGTTGAAGCACCATCTAGTGGCTCTCAACTGTGTTTTGCTAAAAGTTGCTCCCAATTTCCCTCAATTTAAGACCATAATTATTTTGTTGTGCATTTGTATATATGCATATGTGTTCAGAAAAGAAAAAAAACAAATTTTTAATCTTTATGCAGGAGTAGGAAGTTGGGGGAAGCTGTAGCTTTTTACTTTTCCATTCTAACATCACCCAGAAAATCATGGCAATGAGAATGCCACAGAGAAAGAGCACGAATTCAGATAAAACTCTTCCAGGAGTGATGGAGTCCTTTCACTGGAAAAGTGTTAACACAATCAAATCCAGTAGATTTCAGTTCCTCTGTTTCTCCTCCTCATATCCTCTCTAAGAGCTTGCAACGTATTTTTGTCTTTCCAGTTCTACAATGCAGACTTGTCCTCTGTGTCTAGGGATTGGCTGACTATTAAATCTTTGCATACTCCAGATTCCCAAGCCCTTTCCTACCACAAGCCCACAGCATTCTTTGAGTTTACATAACAATCAGTTCTGGAACTGTTGGAGAATGGCTTTCATAATTATGATTACTATGTTCTAAAGTTATGTGTTTCATTATCTTTAGAGGAAAAATGAAAATTGGCCATGAAAATATATACAAATAAAGCATAGCCTTCTGTTGTAAGACTGACAGCAAACCTTGAGATTGGCAAACTAGATATTTGTATCAATTAGGATTAAGTTCAGCTGCATATGGAGTAAACCCTAAAATAACAGTGGCCTGAACAAAATAGTTTATTCGCTTTCACACAAAAGAAGTTTAAATGTAGTGCTCTAAGTTTCGTACGGTCAACTCCATGGTCATCAGGGCCCAGGATCCTTCCATCTTTCTTTTCCCTAATGATAGGGGGTGGCTTCCATCTTCAATGTCCCCCTTCACCCAAGTTGGCTGCTGGACCTCCAGTCATCACACCAATGTTGCAGTCAAGGAGATAAGGCAGTAAAACACAAGAGGATGTCTCCTTTCTTCATAAAGATATTTCTTTAAAATATCACACATGATTTATGCTTGCATCTCATTTGAGAAAACTTTTGTCAGTGGTCATACTCAGCTGCAAGGGAAACTGAGAAATGTCTTTTAGCTAAGTATGTCCCCACACTAAATAATATTGGAGTTATGTTATTAAGCAATGTATCAGAGACCTAATGCCATAATAGTGCTGTGTAATAAGCAACCATAAAACCTCCATGGCAGCAACTGCTTAAATGTCTAGGAGCCCTAGAAGCTGGGCCCACAGTGCTCAAATGTTAGGCAGGCAGCTCTTCTGATCTTACCAAGCTTCTTCACATGTCTTGGAGATGGCTGACAATTGGGCTGTCTGGGCTGGCCTCAGCAGTGAGATGGGGTGGGACTGGGGTGACTTAGCTCTGCTCTACATGTTTCCCATCTTCAACACACTAGCCCAGGCATGTTTCCACCAAGTAGCATGTAGAAACAGGCAGGAACTCTGAGAATTAGGCTCAAAACTGATACACTATCACTTGTGCCCCATTTGATTAGCCAAAGTAAATTATGTGAGGTGGAGAAATATGCACTCTCTTTGTAGAAAGAACTCTAAAGTCACTGATAAATTATATGGATAAAGGGAGGGGTGAAGATTAGAGTCATGAATACAATCATCTACCACAAAGGAAAAGAGGAAGATGAGCACTATTGAACTAGCAATCTGTGCCACAGTATTTTTGAGTCTGTTACAGAATTGTCGTACTAGACTTTTTTCTGTTCTATGCCCTGTTTTAACCCTAAAGAAATTACAATAAAAAGGAGAGAAAAGAGCTAATATAAATTATACGTGACATTATTTACTAATTTAATTATTTCCTGACCCATGATCAATTACAAATGGAGTAGATATTAGTCTTAACATTGGCCTATTCTTTACTCAAGGTGTAAAGTGACTAAATTTACTTAAAATCTGACTCTATTTCTTCCAAGGAAGATACGCTACATCTTCCAACTTATGTAGAAGTTAATATGGCCATGTATGACAAGTATTAATCAATAATATGTGAGCAGAATTGATTACCACTACAAGCCTAGTTCATAAAAATCTCCCACATAAAATTTCTCTCCCTCTCTCTCTCTCTCTCTCTGTCCCCTGCCTCTTCTCCTCGCTCCTCCTCCTCCTCTTCTCTTCTCTTCTCTTCTCTCTCTCTCTTCCAAGCTGCATGGGAAATACTGAGAAGGGCGGGACCATAGGATAAAAGGCTAGCTGAGAGTAGAACCACTCCTGCCCCCTGCCCTAGCTTCAGCAACCTGAACTGGACTATGAAATGAGCAAGAATTACAGTTTTGTTATGTAAATATTTCAAGATTTTGCAGTTATTTGTTCCAATAGTTACACTATCCTACTTATGTAGTATCCTCCAAGTAATATGCATTCATTTTCTTCCTTAAAGTTTTGTTAAAAAATAAAATAGCTCGAATTACCTGACACTTTCCATAAGAAGTTTTCCCTTCAACTAAAATAACACTTTTTATTATAGGCTTATCATATGTATCAGTGAAGATAGGGTTCCAGTTTGCAGTGGCGCTAAAAGATGTTAGGATTTCATCAAGCATTGTTACTCTTACCACCACTAATTCATTCCAGCCTGGAGTGCAGACAAAAGAGAATTGAGAAAGAGCTTGAGACACCGAAGCTCTAAAAGGTTAAGTGATATTCAGCTCTATCTCCAATGACTCTAATATCTCCTTATTTGGGGTCAATTTATAATTTTTTCAGACATGCACATACTGCTAGAAATAACACCTGGCTATTTATTCATTGATCAGTCCAAACAAGCAATACATCTGCCTCACTAATAGCCAGCAAAAAAGAAAGGAATGGGAAGTCAGCTACAGGCTGTCTTGAAGTCAGTGTTTATAGTGGCTCCTGCCATTGTAACATTCATTACCATCTCAAGTGGGCAGAGGAAACAAAAAGCTAGGATGAAAATGCCATCCAAATGACTGTAGAGGTGTAGAAAACTGCACAGCATTGTTATTTGATTTTGGCTAAGTCATCTTCTTCTTTAGGATAAGAAGCAGGGTCATTTGCAAATAAAAACTCACTAGGGCAAAGAGGAAAGTGGATGAGTCACCCTAGGCATTTATGGTGGCAAGCAGCAAGCTTTTGCATATATATATATGTTTTGCACATACACACATTTTTGCATATATAAATTTTGCATAGATAGATACAGATATAGGCATAGTTATAGATATAGGTTAGATATAACTATAGATTAGATATACATATAGATATAGATTTAGATTTAGATTTAGATAGATTCAAAATAGGCCTTGCAATGGCCATGCCACCCTGAACAAGCCCAACCCCGTCTGATCTCGGAAGCCAAGCAGGGTTGGGACTGGTTAGTACTTGGATGGGAGAGCACCTAGGAAGACCAGGTGCTGTAGGCATAAAAAATAAAAAAAATAAGGGACTTGTAAGCTGACAAAATAGGCCTTGCAAACTATCACATCGGTTCTCATAAACACAATGATATCAAGAGTAACTGGATGTTGAACTCGAAAGCTGATTTCAATTGGCTATTTTTTTGTGAAAACTCGTCAAATCTAAACTGACTTCCAGATTTTTTATTTTCATGCTCTAGGAAAAAAACATAAAATACATAATTAAGCAGGAATAAATACTAACCAAATTAGAGAAACTGGGAAGTAAACACTTAAGGAGCCCCAGCTAAACTTCATCTCTCCCATGGAATTCTCAAAGAGTGGTATAGAATAGGTCTCCCCTGGGAAAAACTACAATTAAGCAGAAGCTCTTGCCCCCAGTGCTACCAGGCCCCTGTGCCTGGACTCTCAGTCGTTAACAAAGCTTTGAGGTCAAGAAAGGATTTGGGGGAACAAGCCAAATGTGTCAAAAAATGCATCAAGCTTTTCCCAGGATGTTGTAAACTCAAAGTCTTACAATGATGCTTTCTTTCTAATCAATCTATATTTTTCCATCTTTAGCTCCTACCTGCAACCATTTATCCTCTGGAAGCAGATGAACGTCCCAATGACCAGGATAGCCAAGAAAATAGAGAGTTTCACATAGAGAATTACCAGTAGATACAACATGGGCAATTTCAGGATTCCGACACCTTTAAACATAGGCAATGCAGTCAGGGGGAAAAAGTCATTTCAAGAATTCTTCTAATAAATGTATTAGAGTCAATAGTTTAAAAGAGCCTTTAAAAATGAATATTCCTAGAAGTTCACAGATTATCAAAATCGAAACACTTTCTAGATTATGATTCGAATGTTGCTAATGCATTATTCTTTCATGACAGAGTTCAGGAACCATGTCTGTCTTTTACACCCAGTCACAAAAGGTCATGTATTACATGATCTACATGAATTGTCTAAAATAAGAAAACCTATAGAAATAGAAAGTAGGTTAATGGTTGCCTAAAGCTGAGGGAGATGGGAAGATTGGGGAGTGATAGTTAAAGAGTACAAGTTTTCTTTTTGGAGCGATGAATATATTCTAAAATCGATTGTGGTGATGGTTGCACAATTCTGTGAATATACTTGAAATGGGCAGACTGTATGGTATATAAATTAGATCTCAATAAAGCTGTTGCAAAAAAAGAATAAATGTAAAAGATGTTATGAGGAATAATTAATAGAATATGATAATTTTTAATAATAATTATAAAACAAGTATAACAGCTAATATGTATTAATATAATAAATATGAGTGCTAACATTTTTTAATATTAATAACTAATATTTGTTAACATAATAAATATAATAGCTAATATTTATAGAACACCAACTATGTTAGGCTCTATGGTCAGTATACATATTATTTTATTCAATTAACACATAACTCTATGAGGTAGTACCATCATCCTCATTTAACAGATGAAGAGATCATGAGACAGAGAAATTAAGTATTATTCAAGATCACACAGCTAGAAAATGAAAAGCCATGTTACACCAAAAGCTGTGCTCCTACCAGATTATACTTCCTGGAATAATAGGAAGATATAGCCCTTGTCTTTTCATTTTTGTATCACCAGCTTTAAACATATAAATAACATTCAACACATATTTGGTGAATAAATTGATGAACTAGTTTTCGATGACAAAGGAGGGGGAAAGAAACTTATCTCTTACTCAAGGTAACAAAGTGGTGACCACTATAAGAAATAATTAATCTCAAAGTTAAAGCCTATAGATCACTAAATTATCAAATAATATTTTAATGACCACCACACTATATTTAGAGAATTTACAGGAAAGAAATTATTAAATTAATTTTTTCTATTTGATAAAGGAATATGAATAAATTCTCTAACATACTAAGGTATTTCTCAGGTAGGTTTTAGACAATATCTACAAATTAGGAGTTCGAGTTTTCTTTACATTCTATTTGGTCATTCATAATCTTCCATGAAAGAAAAAGTTGAGCATCGAGTTCACTACTCTAAAAGAAATAGGCACTTACCTTGACTCAGCTCTATGGACTGACTCTTGTTGCCAGTCCAATGGGAGACAGAACAGGACACAGTAGACACATCGCTATCTGCCCAGTGGCATGTACTCTGGACAGTCACTGTGCCATTGTCCAGATATTCTTGCTCAGTGACACAATCTCCTTCTGGGGTCCAGGAGATCTGTGCAGCTGGCTTCCCTGCAATTGCCTTGCACACCACAGTTTTATTCTTGCTTTGAAACAGGGTCACCTCAGGGGCCACTGCAGAGATGTAGGGAAGAGAAAACTC